TGACATATTCACCTTAGTTCCATTGAATTTAAAATACCACATTTGGAACCACATGCTATTAGTTTTAATATTCCTTTCAGGTAATGCGTTGTTTTTGACTATATACCTTAGATTAGATAGATTAGATTTTAAAATGGAGTGGGAGCTTGTCACCACGTCACGGCATCATTTGAAGACTATTGTGACATATCTACTTTAGTTTCATAGACGAGTAACAGTATGTACCTTAACTTGACCACTTTATTTTTGAGTTCAGAGCTATTCGTTAGAGCTATTTAGGCGTTTACATTTAAAGTTTTGCTTTATTGTATTGTTAGTGAAAGGTTTGTACTATCGTGTCGATACTAATAGAAAAAAGTGGTCTATAATATTCTTAAGTCTTCTCCGGACTAGACATAATTATAAGATTGTAAACGACATTAACATAAATAGTGAGATTTTAATTTCATATACTGGAATTAATCCCCTCTAAAGTGCGCTTTTGAACTTAACATAATAAGTTAAGTTTAGTTTTAGTTTTTAGTTTAATTTTATATAATTTCGCTTTAATACTTAACTTTGTTAAATATTTTACTGTAAAATTCATATTCTTCTCATGTATGTTTTGAGACGTACATGTCTACAAAGAAGCAACCACAAAAAATAAAAAACAAGAATCACAATGAAAAATATTTCAAAATATGATCTTCGGTATATGATTATCATACAAATCCTATAAATATGCTTAAATTATTACAATCGATTAAATATCCTTTAAGGAAACTTAACAAGCCGTTATAAATTTCATATAGCATAACCACTTAAAAATTCTTTTAGCATAAAATTAAACTTAAATTATTGGCAATATTTTCACAATGAACCCATATCAAATTTCTAAACCAATGAACCAATTCGGGCTATTCTCGATTAAGATGAAATGCCTTCACTTGACCACAAACTGAAGGCGTAGAGACACACACACGCACGCTACCTACAATCAAATATACGTACGCCTACTTATGGAATAACAGACACTGGCAAATATACGAACAGACGTAAATCGAAAATCGTTGTATCCTGCCTTAAAATTATTCCTTTTGCTGAAACAGTCCGTATAAATAAAACGAATTGAAAACGTTTCTGAAGTGCACTTTCTATGCTCAATATACGCCAGTATTAACCGATGCCACCAAAGACCAGAAATGATGAAACTGAAGTAAAAATAAAAAAAAAAAAGAAAAAGAAAATTTAGGGAAAACGAAGAAAAAAAAGTAGAATTGAAAGTTCAAAATAAAAAGCACGAAAGCCAAATGTAAGGCACTGAAAGTCAACCCATCCAAAATTTATGCGAAATTCAAGTGTGGCTGCCATGCCATTTTCTGGAAAATAGTGTGTCCTTTTTAGCAAGGATATCAAATAAACGTACTTTGCCATGGTTTGGTTTGGTTTGGTTTGGTTTGGTTTTGTTTGGTTTGGTTATTTATTTATTTTATTTTTTTAAGAGCTTTTCTGGAGTTTATTTTAAGGTACGTGGTATATAATACGAGGAGCGTATGATAAATATTTATGTCCCCCGCAAAAAGGTAAACAAAAACATGTAAAATATTCAATGTTTACCAAGATAACCAATACAAAGAAAGCAAACAATACAACGCAGGGACAAAGAAAACAAAGTGAAAAGCGAACTGAAAAATAGGTTAAGACAGAGACCCACTCGTCGGCCTTTTCGGCCTTTTCAGTTTCCGTACGCACATGTTTATCAATAAATAAACACTTGGCTTAAACAACACTTTAAAATGACCGCAGTTAAGGTTTCACTCATGTTAACTGCACTCTTAATAAACATTTAGCCTTTGATGATTGAGCTGTGCACTTTCTCT